GTTCTAAACTGCTCTTCCTAGAGGGCCAGTAAGGATCATCTCTTATTGATCCAGTGTTACTACAGGAGGAAACCTAAACTAAACTAACTTTATTTATGCTGGATAGCTCTATCAGTTCTATATTGTTCTTCCTAGATTAAATAAAAATCACATTTAATTTCCATACTTGTAGTATAAAGATCATCTCCGACCACGAACCAAAATCATCCCGCGACAAAAGGAACCTTATGAGATTGATAAGAAAAGATAAACCCTGAAATGAAAAAAGAGGAATAAATGCAGAGAATAGCTCCAAAGGCACACGTCAAAGTCTTACAATCGGATCGGCCAATGCCATCCATGCAGCACAATTCATACTCTTATTTTGAAACGCACCAAAAAACCGGGATCACTCGAAATTGCAGAACTTGTTTTATAACGTAACATCGTTCATTATCCAGCAGACTTGTTGGCCTTCTTTGAGAACTGTAGAATGTGGTTCTAATATGAAAAAGATGAACCAAAGTTCAACTAACCTCAAGTAGGAATATAAATTCAAGTACAACTAAGATTAAATTTCAACACGAACCTCAATTTTCCCTCAAGCGGGGCTTCCACAACCGTAAATTTTTGCCGCGGACATGGTTGACAGGAAAACAGTCTTTCGTTTTCTAAATGCTCTGCAGCTGAAGAAAAAGATCAGTGTCATACCACTTTCATCCTATAATATCCCACACTACCATGCAACATCCCTATCTATCCTATCATATCCCATTCTAACATACAATATCCCATACTATCCCACAATATACCACTGAATATATCCTATGATAACCCAACACCACATTTCAACCTAAAACATCCCATCATATTCTTCCATGCCCTATCTTATCATATAACCTCTTATTCTACCCTTCACCATCCTAAATCATCCAATAAATTTAATTCTTTCAATCATCTTTCTTTCCGAAATGAAAAATTGACTGGATTGATGGTAGCAACGATGGCTTACCTTGCTGTTCTTCATTCTCAGGACGATATATTTCTCCTGCATCGAAAATTCTCTCACCATTTGGAGATTTCTAATTGATGCATAAAATAGAGACAGATTAGTCCCTGTTGTTTGTGATTTAGGTGTGTGAAGATTCTGTAAGCCCTCCCCTGCCCCATTAGGTACAATCCAGGCGTTCCCCACCCAAGTCTTGTCACACATTACACTCACCAGTTGTACTTTAGCAGGACATTTCTGCCCAGGGCCCAACACAATCACATCTCCCTCGACCAGCAGGTTTGCAGGCACATTGACAAGCCTGTTCTTACGGTAGGTCCAAACTAATGAGAGGGAATCTGTACTGGGCGTGGCAAGATGTGGATAGGAAGCGTCAGACCAAGGACAGGACAATCTATATGCTGCCCATGTGAATAACAACAGGATATTTTATGTATCTTATTATACCATCAATGGTCTTTCAGATAGCGGCCCGGGAAAATAAAGTGAAAATTCGCCCTAAGGCTCAAAGGTACAATTGAGACAGTGCCTACCCTTCCAACTTGATTTTCACCCTGGGCTCCTAAATTTCTTTCTCAGGCTATGATATCAACCAGTATGTACCATCTACTAAGACGAATCCTATGAAGCATCGCTCATGTCTTATTCTCACTTTGGCACACCCCACTAAAGCCTTCTCAAAACTGTTCTGTACATCTCACTTACCCTGGCATTGTGTCAAGAACTTGGCAATCTTTTTTGATAGTTCTGTCTTCCTCAGCCTCTCTTCCCTCACGCCAAGAACAATATTCAGAGCAGTTATGGCCACAATTATAGATAGCTCCACCATTGGCAAAGCCTTCCTAGTGTGTGGTTGAATGAAAACTCAGTGCAACACCACATGACATGGCCAGAGAATGGTACCATTCATTAGAGCTGTCTCATAACAATATCAAGCTCAGTAACAATATCAAAGGCTGATGATGGCTCCAAAACTTACAAGCCAATCAAACTTTATGTAACATCTGACTTTTCGCACATGACATCATTGAGAAAGGTCAAATGAGCAACATAAAAAAATGGTTTAATGTTTACTGATAGTGATGAACATTTGTATTCATTCTTTACCTGCTCTCCTGGAAGGCATAGCCTAGAATTATGAGAAATATTTGAAGCAGAACCAGACCCAAAGATATAAAATTGAAAGTTGCGCTAGTGTTTGCCAACATTCTAACAAAATCACGCCATGGTCCGATGTTATTGGCCTGGTTGAACACCGTCAGTTCATGACGGATGATCCCGCAGAAACGTCTGTATGCCTCGTCACAGGACAGACCAACAATCGTTTCATCTCCCTCCTAGGAAAAACAACTGTGGGTGCTGGTCTGGGATGAATATATGAATATTGACCCCAATTAAAACGTTACTGCAAAATGTTGCAAAACTAACACCGTAATCAGCCAAATCTCACATGCAGCTATGCAATGATCTTTGCACAATGCAGAAACCTTGGCACAAAACTAAACGAACAGCTTAGGGCCAGAGGATAACTTTGCATAAGACCTTAGAAAATGCACACTCTGTATTGCAGCTAAATGCAAGGACAGCGAGCGAGATAGTCTAAAAATATGTAATAATGGTACAATAACACACAATCTTAAAGTTATCTTTGCATACCTCGTTCCTGAGTTTCTGAACATTTTCCAGTTCAATTCCTTCATCTTCCCCAAACTAGTCAAGACATAAAAAACAAAGAGACATTAGAAAAGTAACATAATTTTAACAAAAGGAACATATTAAAGTGCAACAGTAGTGTACCGTAACAACACTCACATCGCCCGTGCCATTTTCAGAATCACCTAGGCTACCAAAGAGAGGACGCTTTTGCGATTTCGTAGCCATTTACCTCGTGTATGGCTAGGATAAGCTACACTATAACCATTTCTCCAAACATTTCCTAAACTTTTTTATTGTTGATCATTTACTGCACCATTTTTTTTTTGCATTGGCGGCCATATTAAATTTCCAGGAACACTGAGCTATATAAAGCTGAAATGCATTTGATGTAACTGGAATATTAGCAATGCCGGAAAACGGTACAATAAGCCGTTTTCAGGCGGACTCGACCATGGTCGAAAAACCGTATTCCGGCCGACTCGACCATGGTCGAATAGGCCGTTTTCCGGCGGACTCGACCATGATCGTATTTGCCATTTACCGGCGAAATCGACCATGGTCGTATTCGTCATTTTCCGGCGAATATATGACCATGGTCGTATATTTGCCATTTTCCAGCGAATATATGACCATGGTCGTATATTTGCAATTTTCCGGCGAATATATGACCATGGTCGTATATTTGCCATTTTCCGGCGAATATATGACCATGGTCGTATTTGCCATTTTCCGGCGAATATGACCATGGTCGTATATTTGCAATTTTCCGGCGAATATATGACCATGGTCGTATATTTGCCATTTTCCAGCGAATATATGACCATGGTCGTATATTTGCAATTTTCCGGCGAATATATGACCATGGTCGTATATTTGCCATTTTCCGGCGAATATATGACCATGGTCGTATTTGCCATTTTCCGGCGAATATATGACCATGGTCGTATATTTGCCATTTTCCGGCGAATATATGACCATGGTCGTATTTGCCATTTTCCAGCGAATATATGACCATGGTCGTATATTTGCCATTTTCCGGCGAATATATGACCATGGTCGTATTTGCCATTTTCCGGCGAATATGACCATGGTCGTATTTGCCATTTTCCGGCGAATATTACCATGGTCGTATTTACCATTTTCCGGCGAATATGACCATGGTCGTATTTGCCATTTTCCGGCGAATATGACCATGGTCGAGTTAGTCGTTTTCCGGCGAATTCAGGTTACCTTTGGAGGGTTTTTCACCGGGCACTCCGGTTTCCCTCCTTTTCGTTTGGCTTTAAAAACAGTGTCCATGTCTGGGGCCATGATAATCATGTGATTGAGTTTTTGGCTTCTGGGTTCTATTCCCAGAACACTGTCGTAATTCGTAAAGCTAAAAGAATTTTAAGACTGACGTGGTTTTTTATTATTCACAATCAGCTATATACTTTGAATTCCCAAAGGCTTTAATTCGGTATTCCTGCGCTTTACACATAAATTTCAACGCCGTTTTACGCATTTTTGCGTTCAGCTTAGTGCTAGGCAACGTCCATTTTCAGGGGGGAGACTCTGGAGCACTTATAGTGCTATGATAATGATGCCATTCTTAGAGCGATTGAAAAGCAAGTGATCCGATGGATAACGCAACAATCCAGCTTTTGTACAACGGTCCCAGCAATATGATAATTTGTCCAATAGGATTAGTGATTCGTTGTCATGTGACAAGTACGAGGGCGAGGCATTTTCAAAATTTCGTACGTTGTATTTCGCTCTGGTTTGCCGTTTGAGAACAGAATTACTGTAAAAAGTTTAATAAATACATTAAATTTCGTTTTTTAAACTGGGTAGCCTGACAACGAAAAGAGGTATGTTTATTCTTGTGTTTTATTGTAAAGTACTCCACATTCATGGCCTAAAAGTGATTAAATTTCTGTGTTGAATTCGAGCTCGTGTTCGGCCATATTTTAGCTTCGCGCCTTCGCCCGTGTTGAAAAACTTGCGACGTTAATCTTCAGCAATATTTTTTGTTATTGGCAAGAAATGCTTGGATATGATATTCTGTGTGTGATTTAGGTTGAAATGCTTTACAATAGCTGTTAATTTCTGTCGTTTTAGGCTTATAGCGAGCAAAATATATCGCTTACCAAGGCTGTATTCAAGACTGAAAAAGTCAAGTGCATAGAAGGAGTTTTAAATTCATCACTACCTTGCTCAAAAAAAGGTAAAAGTTTCGTGCTTTATTATGTATTTACATTTCCTTTTCTCGTACTTCATTAGTAAAATATGAAATGGTTTTTTCTTCCTGTTATTTTTCGTAAAAGACATCGATAAATGTACCGCATGTAGTGACTAGTGAAGCGACGAAAGTGCTTCGCATTAAATAATTCTTACAAAAGAATTTCTGGCGAAAAAGACGCTAATGAATTGTAGAATTTTATTTCGTGGTTGTATATATTTGGTGTAAAGCCGAGAAAGAAATGATTGAGAGTAGTCTGATGCCCTGATTTTATTGATTAAACAATTTTGATTGAAAATACTTGAATTGAAAAAATGCATTTGAAATAAAACAAACATTTACATCACTTATTACACATTAGTTTGCATTTATGACCAACTAAAAATTGGCCAGCGCGCCAGGAACTAGCTGGCATGCAAAATCCAAAGCAAGTTATTATATTTCTCAAAATCTAATATAAAAAAATTATATAAAAATGATACAATATGCAGGCCTAAAAACTTAGCGTGCGGTATTCAACATGGCTGCCATAATTGCGTTCGACGAAGAAGAAGGCATTCTAATTGTATTCTAATCGCATTCTAACTGTGACTCGCGCGGTGTCCCGCGTGGTTCTGCATGCCATTCGATTTTAGACTATGACATATTTTTTAATAAATATACGTAATGTTCTGACAGATTACTGTTCAAATGTGCACAAGTTACAAGGCCAAAAACTGAAGCGGATCCTCATGATGAGCAACTGTGGGACATATCAACACAAATCACTCTTGGCAAATGTCGAAAGAAACAATGGAAAGATAAGTGCATTTACAATATTTCATGCAATATGGTTCATTCTATACCTTTCGTTTCTCTTTCCGGCAGCGTCAATTTTTTCGGTAGCGTCATTTTTTCGGTAGCGTCATTTTTTCGGCAGCGTTCATTTTTTCGGCAGCGTTCATTTTTTCGGCAGCGTCCATTTTTTCGGTAGCGTCCATTTTTTCGGTAGCGTCCATTTTTTCGGTAGCGTTCATTTTTTTGGTAGCGTTAATTTTTTCGGTAGCGTCAATTTTTCGGTAGCGTCCATTTTTTCGGTAGCGTCCATTTTTTCGGCAGCGTTCATTTCTCTACACTTAAGGTCCCCTGTTAACGGCGGAAGGTATGCTGAAATATGCCACTAGTACTTTCTTGTTTGTTAATATGGCTTTTCGTTTCGCTAAATTGCGGCAGCGTTCATTTCTCCAAACGTATAAGTCCCCTGTTAACGGCGGAAGGTATGCTGAAATATGCCACTAGTACTTTCTTGTTTGTTAATATGGCTTTTCGTTTCGCTAAATTGCGGCAGCGTTCATTTCTCCAAACGTATCAGTCCCCTGTTAACGGCGGAAGGTATGCTGAAATATGCCACTAGTACTTTCTTGTTTGTTAATATGGCTTTTCGTTTCGCTAAATTGCGGCAGCGTTCATTTCTCCAAACGTATAAGTCCCCTGTTAACGGCGGAAGGTATGCTGAAATATGCCACTAGTACTTTCTTGTTTGTTAATATGGCTTTTCGTTTCGCTAAATTGCGGCAACGTTCATTTCTCCAAACGTATCAGTCCCCTGTTAACGGCGGAAGGTATGCTGAAATATGCTACTAGTACTTTCCTGTTTGTTGATATGGCTTTTCGTTTCGCTAAATTGCGGCAACGTTCATTTCTCCAAACGTATCAGTCCCCTGTTAACGGCGGAAGGTATGCTGAAATATGCTACTAGTACTTTTATATGGCTTTTCGTTTCGCTAAATTGCGGCAACGTTCATTTCTCCAAACGTATCAGTCCCTGTTAACGGCGGAAGGTATGCTGAAATATGCTACTAGTACTTTCCTGTTTGTTGATATGGCTTTTCGTTTCGCTAAATTGCGGCAACGTTCATTTCTCCAAACGTATCAGTCCCCTGTTAACGGCGGAAGGTATGCTGAAATATGCTACTAGTACTTTCCTGTTTGTTGATATGGCTTTTCGTTTCGCTAAATTGCGGCAACGTTCATTTCTCCAAACGTATCAGTCCCCTGTTAACGGCGGAAGGTATGCTGAAATATGCTACTAGTACTTTCCTGTTTGTTGATATGGCTTTTCGTTTCGCTAAATTGCGGCAACGTTCATTTCTCCAAACGTATCAGTCCCCTGTTAACGGCGGAAGGTATGCTGAAATATGCTACTAGTACTTTCCTGTTTGTTGATATGGCTTTTCGTTTCGCTAAATTGCGACAGCGTCCATTTTTTCGGCAGCGTCCATTTTTTCGGTAGCGTCCATTTTTTCGGTAGCGTCCATTTTTTCGGCAGCGTTCATTTCTCTACACTTAAGGTCCCCTGTTAACGGCGGAAGGTATGCTGAAATATGCCACTAGTACTTTCTTGTTTGTTAATATGGCTTTTCGTTTCGCTAAATTGCGGCAGCGTTCATTTCTCCAAACGTATCAGTCCCCTGTTAACGGCGGAAGGTATGCTGAAATATGCCACTAGTACTTTCTTGTTTGTTAATATGGCTTTTCGTTTCGCTAAATTGCGGCAGCGTTCATTTCTCCAAACGTATAAGTCCCCTGTTAACGGCGGAAGGTATGCTGAAATATGCCACTAGTACTTTCTTGTTTGTTAATATGGCTTTTCGTTTCGCTAAATTGCGGCAACGTTCATTTCTCCAAACGTATCAGTCCCCTGTTAACGGCGGAAGGTATGCTGAAATATGCTACTAGTACTTTCCTGTTTGTTGATATGGCTTTTCGTTTCGCTAAATTGCGGCAACGTTCATTTCTCCAAACGTATCAGTCCCCTGTTAACGGCGGAAGGTATGCTGAAATATGCTACTAGTACTTTCCTGTTTGTTGATATGGCTTTTCGTTTCGCTAAATTGCGGCAACGTTCATTTCTCCAAACGTATCAGTCCCCTGTTAACGGCGGAAGGTATGCTGAAATATGCTACTAGTACTTTCCTGTTTGTTGATATGGCTTTTCGTTTCGCTAAATTGCGGCAACGTTCATTTCTCCAAACGTATCAGTCCCCTGTTAACGGCGGAAGGTATGCTGAAATATGCTACTAGTACTTTCCTGTTTGTTGATATGGCTTTTCGTTTCGCTAAATTGCGGCAACGTTCATTTCTCC